GGACATTGGCGCATGGCGATTCAGAAACTAGCGATAGTTGTTGCATCCTACCGATATCATTTATCGATACCATTTCAATTGTTTTTCTAACCGTAATACTCTATGGTAATAGAGCAAATGGCTTTTCTGTGAATACTTGGCGTCACGCATAGGAATACATTGTGTTTCGTCATCTCGCACGAAATCGGTCAGAAAGAGGTCAACTATCCTCAACCCAGTCGCTCGATAAACGAGATAAATAATTTCTATGTTTCGATACACTTTGAGATCATCGCTGAGCGCGAAGACTTCTAAATTTACAAGGCGCACTCTGGGATTGATAATAGTAGGGCGATTTCGATAATAGGTCGATGTCGTAATCTTCCCGGGGCAATGCACCGGAACTTTCCCTGTCGGATAACCATAAAAAGAAAATACTAAATAACCCCTGAACGAAAAATATTTGTTTCTCTTTTTGAAAACTGCGGTGCCAATATTCTACGTCAATCCAGATTTCAGAACAGATAGTTTGTAAAAAGGTACCTAAATATTCGTTAAGACTTGTACAGTAAAAGCCATATCCAAAATGTTCCATTAACTTCGTTCTTTAAACCTGAAAAATTGCGAAACAATTCTATGAATTCGACGTATTCGATAGAAATGATAAATGTTCCTCGTAGATATACCGAGCGAGCTTTAGTTGTCCGAATGATTGAGAAAAGTTTTTGTAAGAGAAAACCACTGAAAGAGAAGCTCGGTGGTGTTCGAACAACAACAGATACGAAAGTTTTCATTCGTATTTCGCGAATAATTTGAAGAAAAGTTTACGTAGTAAATTATTCGTGGTAAATGACCGAATGGCTGGTTGTATAGGGTCTAGTTTGTCTAGAGGATCGAAACTATTTACCGTCTACATCCGTTGATGGCAGAGTCTCTGAGACCACGTGGTACGCGTAGAATAATGTCCAGAACAGACAGCATCCGACTATTTTTCCAGACATTTTGTCAACGAGAACAGACGCGAACCGCGAGCGCAGCGAACTCACGGTTACGACTAAGATCAACCCTGGTACACCGGCAAACAACTCTCGTCGCTACTCCCACGCTCTTTTAACGAAAGTTACTATCTTCGATGTGCATGTTCGCTAACACTGTCTCCCGTTTTATCACGGTAACGCAGTGCCGTTGTAGGCATGCTTTGCAACTGGACACGGTTATTAGAATGCTGGAATCGCGTCGAGTATGCGTTTCCACTGATCAAACGAAGACGGGATGCGGTACGGTTACATGCATACTATGCACAGCTTGCAAGGAGGCCGAGATGATTAAAGTCGTATGCATACCCTAGACTCTACATATAATGGCAGTTTGCAGAATTCTATAGTATGTTGAAGATACCGACGATGGTTAATAATTTACGAGAAATTCGACTTTGATCGTCCATTGCCAAGTCTCTAATTAGTAATTTGTATTTTACCAGATTATGCAAGAAATATTTCGAACTCGATTTATACTTTATAGGTTAACCTTTTCTATTATTGTATATCGAAGCGTCAGTTTAATGTAAAACGAAATCTGTCGATGATCTATGAGCTAACAATCAAATGTGTTATACCTTTTCAATGTCTACAGATGATTACGATTAAACGGGGCACTGCCGTTAATTTAATGAGATCGATATAGAAACACGGACGAGATCAAATTTCTTACATTTGTTTCGAGGCGAGTGAAACAAATACCGTTATCGATTGCTGATAAATTGGATGAATGTAATCGAGATGGCGCTGTATGGCTTACCGATAACAAGCCGTTAAATGGATGGTTCGTTGAACATTCTGATGTTTAAAATTCTTTAAATTCAAATATCTACCAATTTTACTAACAAAATTCAAATCAACTATGTTTGAGACATAAGCACGTTTACTCACCATTTAGAGCACCGTTAACAGTTTCGTTCTTTTTTTTACAGAGTTGATCGACCACTTCTTTAAATATATTCGATAATTCACATTTATATGACGCGTTTTCATAGCCGTCTTGACGCGCACTGAAACAAACTTCTCCGACTGACACAAAGCGATTTACGTAATTCAATAATAGAACACTGAACAACGCGACTGTTTTTCTTCCGATCATCGTCGCTTGTAGAACAGTTAACTTTTTAAAAAATGAAACGAAATATTTCTTTCGATGGCTAAAGCGGCTGTCCGGATGTATTCCGTTCTTGTTGCAAGTGCGATTTAAAACATGACAGATTTCGAACGAAAATATTAATGGTCGATGAATCGCTGGTATAAAGCCATCCAGGTAGATGATCCAAATATTTATAGGTAGAATGAAATTGGAAAGCGCGACGGATCACAGTTTTTGCTGGGCTAAAGAATGTCGGGCCTATTCACCGTTGCAGCTTACCTTTTCTCTATTCTTCACTTTCAAGCAATGATCCTTTCGGGCAAAACCATCTTTTCACGCATATCTTACTCGTTAAGTATATATAGTATTCGATAAACGTTAATACTATCTTTGTCGCAAAATACTGACGATGAGACTGGCGGATGCAAAAGAAAAACATTCAGCAGTATGATACAATCTTAATTCGAATCTGATCTTCTTGTACGAAAGCAAAAGATAGCTCCCTGTTTGCACAGAAATATGTATAAAGATAATGTGTCATAAAAAAAGAACTTACACCGCAATGAAAAATAAGGATTGTGTCGTGTATGTAGGTAATTGAGTTAGGCTGGAGAGCCGAACAAATGCCCAACAAATGGGATCAAGCCTCGGTTTAATATGATTACTGGGGCAGCAAGGCAGACGATGCTGAGGCTTCTTTCGCGTTTCGATGGAAATTCGCTAGCCAGTGTCCGTGGATCGGGGATCGTTAACGTTTCGTTTCCAGTTCCGCGGTAATTCCTAAACAAACCGGGACTAGTCCAGAAAATGGGGAAGGAGGACTCTGAGACGGTAGCCTTGAGGAAGGAGCTAGAAGACCTAATCAACAAATGCAAGGTTGTATTAGAAACACTGTAGCGTTTATAAAACAACGATATTATACAGCAGTAAGGTACTTGATTCTTGATTACATCGAATGTTAAAAGATCTCTTCTTCCTTGTATACCAGGAGGATCAAAAGAAACAACAGGACGCCACCTTGGAGGACGTGTGCAGTGGTGTAGCAGACGCGCCCAAGGTGAAATTATCAACAAAGAAGTTACTGAAGGGACACATTAATAAAGTGAATTCGGTACATTTCAGTGGCGACAGTAGGTCAGTCCTAATCCTTCAATTTCTCTCCTTCGCGGTGTAGTCAAGCGTGATCCAATTGTGATCCGCGCTGGCACGGATACTGGCTTCACAGTTAGACATACTGCAAAAAAGTCTACTCCGGTTTTCAGGCATTGCGTGACCGGTTCGTTAGATGGTAAACTGATCATCTGGGACTCGTGGACCGGCAATAAAGTCCAGGTGATCCCGCTGCGGTCAGCATGGGTGATGTCGGTAGCATTTGCTCCGTCAGGAAACTTTGTCGCCTGCGGTGGTATGGACAACATGTGCACCATCTACGATGTGAACAACCGCGATGCTACAGGCTCGGCCAAAATAGTTAGAGAGCTGTTGGGCTACGAGGGTTTCCTCTCTTCCTGCAGATTCTTGGAAGACAAGAAAATCATCACTGGGTCTGGCGATATGAAAATGTATGCTGACCTGAAATACATACGATCTGGGTTAATACTATGATGACATTAATGTTTTTAGTTGTATATGGGACCTGGAGGGCAATAAGAAAACGTCAGATTTTTGTGCGCACGCTGGAGACGTTGTCAGCATCAGTTTGTCCTCAGATATGAACACTTACATCACCGGATCGGTGGACAGGACATGTAAACTGTGGGACTTACGGGAGGAAACCGCGAAGCAGACCTTTTTTGGTCACGAAGCCGACGTGAATTCTGTTTGCGTGAGTATGGATCATGAGATTCCAATTTAGACCGTTGCGGGTCATAGATAGGAACTTGGTAATTGATTTTTCAGTATCATCCATCGGGACAAGCTTTCGTGACAGCTTCAGAAGACAAGACGGCAAGGTTGTGGGACTTGAGATCGGATCAGCAGATAGCAGAGTTCAAGCCTCCTAGCGGAAACCCCGGATTTACATCGTGCGGATTATCCTCGAGCGGTAGATTTATATTCTGTGGCAGCGATGACAATTCCATTCACATTTGGGATACGTTGAAGAAACAATACAACGGTGTGTGCTCCTAAAACAACCTAATGAGTTAGACGATACGTTCGAAACACATTTTCTTCGACTCTATTCATTCTTACCACTATTTTTGAAGGAGTTATGTCGGGTCACGAGAACCGGGTGACATCGCTGAGCGTCTCCGGAAATGGTATGGCTGTCGCTACTTGTTCCTGGGACCAGAATGTCCGAATTTGGGTTTAGAAACCGGAAGAGAACTATTAGTATCGTCTCGGAGGATGAAGAGAAAGGACCCACTCAAGTCTGCGCTTCATTGTTTCTTAAGCTTTTGATATAGGCAAGAGTAGATCTGTGTGTCAAGTTACAGCACTACTCTAACAATTAATGTCTCGATGTATAAATGCCTGTAGCATCTCCTGATATTTTTATTTTAAAGCACAGAAACCATATTCTGTGTCTCTGTTCAGGAAGATAGTTACTTGAAGCGTAACACTTGAGAGCATTTGCTTTCATTTGTTTTTTAAACTGAAAAATAAATAAGATTAGAAGAAGAAATGTTAAATAAAATGCAAAACAAACAAACACTTGATTTGTAAATTTAAACACATTGTTGGCTATTTCCTCTGTTGCCTCAATTTATATTACTGTTACGGAATTCTCTAGGGACAGTCTTAAGTTTGCAATTTACAATTTGCATAGATTTTATTTCTACATTATACATTTAATGTGTCTCTGTAATCGACGTTGCAGAACGGTGTGCATTGTAAAGAAAGAAAAAATAGATATAGATAGAGAAATAGATAGATAGCGAGAGAGTGAGAGAGAGAGAGAGATTCTTCGTTTGTGGTTACTAATACTTAAGGATTTGGTATTCGTTAGGCTTAAGTCTCGACGATCAAGGTGCTTCTTTCATAAATCAACGAACCTGTTTGACATAATCCTTGTCAGAGGGGAACCTAGGCCAGTAGCTACATTCTCTGTGTAACATAATACATACACGCTATGTATGCGATACACATGCTACTGCTTACTGAAACCAGCCGATATCGCGATTCGAATCGCTTTAATTCGACGATTAATAAAAATTACACGTGTTTACTATGCATGCAGAAGATAAGGTAAGACGGAAGGTATCCGAGAAAACTTCGATAACAGATCATAGGAAAACTATACTCTTACCGGCGCGGCTCATAACGCCAAGAAGTATATCACGTAAAAGAATTTAACAGAAATATATAATACATACACGATTCGCGACACGAAATAATTGAAGATACAAAATCGAGCTTAAAAAATCTTACAGTAATTATATTATGTAATTTCATGCTTATGTACAATCGTTTGTCCTCGCAACAAACACGCTGCTTTCGCAGCGAATCACAAGTTGGTGAAGTAGGTGAAACAGACAAGGGAAGGTCTTCATCCTGTTAACAAGGAAATTGAAAACATTATCAAATTTGGCTGATGCAAATAGCGTGTGCAAGGTATATAATATAATGTTAGTCAAATTCACTTGAAGGGGAATTACAATTAAGCTTTGAAAGATCAATTAAGTTTCGATGATACTTTGGAGAGAGGGGGCCTAGTCATGAGGGGTTGAGGGATCTTCCCTTGCGAGCGACGGAGAGAAAAACGAGAAGAGAGAAAAATAGAGACTAAATTAAAATCCATCGAGGTGAATCAAAAGGGCCACAATGACTGTAGCCCCAGCTTCTTTGGTTGCCCATTTGTTGGACTCAAATTGTGGATCATTGGCATCCTTCGCTCCAGAGCTGATTGTATATGAACCAGGTCTAACCAGCAATTGGAACGCTGTGGATGCATTCAATTTTTTATTCGATTGTGTGTCGATATATCTAAAAGGATATATAAACAGTTAACTATGCGAGATCATATTGTTTTCTAGAATATGTAGAACTACTTACGGATACTTTTTAGTGAATTCCTCGGACGCGGCATACTTTATACTAGGGGAGAACACTACTTGAGGATTTTGGTCCTCCGTTTTCATGTTCATTGTCAAATTACTGACATCTAGCTGTTCTTTCGTCATCAGTTCCCCCGTATCCAAGATCAGTCTGTAAATCAAAATTTACATTTCACGTGTGCTCAACTTTTGGTTCAGCAAATTGTTGCAACATCGTTTTACCTGATGGCATCTAAACGTATCCCATAGAAAGCAACATGCCACTTGTCCGTGGTACTCTGTGGAATTTGATTAGCATTGATGTTTTGTTTAAGCGGAAATCTGGTCCAACCAACAGGTACTGCAAACTCCGCCGGTGGCTCGCCTTTCTTGCAGATTGCACTGTCCCCTTCAACCTTGTAGCAGGCGCTGCAATAACACAACACATCGTCCAAAGAGAAGAACTCCTCCGGTAGAATCAGTGACTTCTTCAGTCTCGTGCAGGCCTTCAAATACTCGCATTTCTTCGGGGGCATAATGTTCGTTCCAAGGGGAGTGGACGGAGCCTGCAGTAACTGTAAAGTGAGGGCGCTGTGATTGGAGGTAACATTCTGTCCTGCCAGAGGTGGGTTCCCGCTGATACTGTTCTTCTCGATGACATTGCTCCAAGCAATGTTCGAGCGTATCTCGTTCAAGCTAGAAGAAACGGTGTTTGAGATATCGGACGTAGCGTTGTTTAGAGTATTTTGTGAGGAGAATATCTGCGACGAACTCAACATGATCTGATGGGTAGCGCTTAGATTGTTCCCTTGGCTATTGGACGCTATGCTTTCGTTTATCGCATTATTGCTGTTCAAGTTGTTTATGTTGCTGGCGCTGTTCGCGGTGCCGTTTTTTATGTTAATGTTAGTCGCATTATTAATCTCTACATTTGTACATTCGCTGTTACGGTTCAGCTGATTTGAGTTATCGTACGCCTTGCTCCTCTCGCACTTTGGCTCGTTCGCGTCTGCATTCGCCTCCATGTTACTGCTATCGGATGCACCAGGATCAGGTTTGCTCTCAATCTTCGCTAGATGTGCATTGTCGCTGTTTAACGCCGAGTACTCGACGATACTGTCTGCCTTGACGTTCGAGCTGCACTGACTGGACACGCTCGGCGAGGTAGAGGATGAAAAATCTGAGAATGCGGCTGCTACTATGTTCTCCTTCTCGTGACACTCTAGGTCAGCCTTTTCTCTAGAGTTCTCTGTATCTTCTATTTTAGCTCGGATCGTCTCCATGGATGTTACAGACGCAGTGTTGTCCACAGGAGCCGAGGAGAACGCCTCAGCATTATTTCCGACGACAGAGATCTGCTCGCACTGGCCGTACAGATCGAAGACAACATAGACGTAGGGTGGTAGGTCCGTCGCGACGACTCCTTGGTCTATGCCGTTAATGATTAAACGTAACCTATTCTCTTCGTCGATGAACAAACCTACCACCGAATTCAGTTGGAGATTCTCCAACACGGCGCCGTATTTCGTTTTCACCTGCTCAAAAATATATTCGGTAAGCTCTGAAATCGCCATTCTTTGGTTTACTTCACGATTTAATCCAACACTTACCCTGACACCGTTATGCGATATCCAATCGCTGCAAATAATCCACGAGTGCTTTTTGAAGCCAAGCGCTGTCAGAGGAAAGTTCGCCTTTTCCGGTGAGATGCAAGTTACCCCGCAGAGAATGTTCGACACCCACCGTTCGTTTAGTTTCTCTACTTTTACTAGGAATGGTTTACCCTTTATCAGGGGACGACTGGACATTACGACACCTTGACAAATATATATACGAATCATTGAAGAATGTGTTATAGAAAATCTTGTAATACTAAAGATTGTTAACGATTTGGTACCTTGGTTGTAGCTCGCTACCCGTCGTGCAGTGATCTTTGATTCCAACTGTATGTTCCTTCCGTGATTCTCATGGAACTCGTAGTTCCAATCGGCCTCGCCTATCGAATGTACAACAACGGGCTGCGTCGGGGTGAGTGTCGCTTCATTTGCCAACTTTCCCTCGGATACATCCATCGACGTGTCCATTCCAGCATCGCTGTAAATCAAGAATCATGGTAGAAAAGTTGACGAACAATTCGGTTAATTAAACATACTTTCGTAGCACCGGCGGCATAGGATCTAGCAGCAACTCCAACGAATCCTGCAGTCTCAAGCTGGCATTCGGCGAGACCGCAGCCTGGTTCTGTTGCTTGGTGCTGGTAATATTCACAGCCATGGTGGTGCCGAAAAGTTCGATGGCAGCATACACACCTTCCGGTATATTCGACGCAGCCACCCCCATGTCCTCACCGTTTATGTATAACTTCAAGTTACCTTCGTGGGTGCGTTTCACTCCTATTTTATCGTTTACGCGTAGCCATTCCAAGCTTGGACAGTAATTCATGCAGAGTACATATCCGTTGTGTCGGACTTCGTTGCCTACCATAAAGAATATGTTACCAGGGGTCCGACGAGTTTGTATTGGTACTAATTACCTGTCAAATACCAAGCATCGGATGGAATGGAGCCCATACCAGGCACGAGGTTCATGGATGTTAACCAGTTACCACTTTCATTATTGATCACGCCTATTTTTAAGCAACCGCTCCACTCTCTGGCAACTTCTTGGATCGCAATTTCGAATATTTCGTTGTTCTCTAACGCAGTCTCGCTCAACAGTACAGCATTATTGTACTCCCTACACCTGGTCGCCACAGTTCTATCACTGTTTAATTGAATATTCAAGCCGACAGATTCGTGAAACTTGTGCATGATCTCGGTCTGTGCTTGCAGCTGGATCACAGAAGTAGGCTGTTGACTAATACTGTTCTCAGATGGTAAATACTGTTGCGTTATGGGATCTCTGCGTTCTGGCAGTACAATGGTCACCTAAAATGTTCATCCGAACATGAGAATCGTATGGTCTTTACAGTTGTTGCGATGTTATCAAATAAATAATAATTGCGGCACCTGAACACATTGACCGTACAGGTCAATCACAGGGTACACGTGTGGCGGTAATCCAGTACAAGCAGCTCCTTGATCTACCCCATCTAAATAATAATGCAAGCTACCATCCGAACACCGCATCATACCAATCCTATTACCCTCCACTACCTTGTCTAAATCACAGGCGTAGTTGTTTCTCACTGTGACACCATCTCGCATAACGTTCGATCCAGATAACATCCATGTGTCGTGATCAATGTCTGTCATGGTGGATGGAAACACCAATTCATCAGGTCTTATAACAGTAACGCCTACAATATTCACGCTTTTGTTAACATTTTCTATGGTCGGCAGAGAAATAAATCTAATTTAGATGTACTCTTGAATACCCGCTTCAATAGCTCCTGTCCACCGTTCCACCATTTTATCGATGGTCACTTCGAACATTTCACCGTCCCTTAGTGCACGATTCGCTATCACGATCGCTTCATTGAATTCCCCCAGCGCTCTAGGCCTTAGAGCAGTTAATCCATTGTTTATAATTTTCGCATTCTTGCCGTGTATGTGATGAAACCTTAAATCGCTGTAAATTATGAAATGAACATTAAAGAACGAACACTGAATTTCAGATTTAGTGTGATACGAATTTTGCAGTTTACAGACCTATACAAAGTTGTATTGCTGAAACTTGAATTGTTCGTGGTGGGACTGTAGAAATCCGTATTGTCTACAATTGTTGCCTGCGCCGCCTGCCCGTAGAGATCTATTACACCATAAACTCTTTCAGGCATGTTCATGGCTGCGGCACCTTGGTCGGCACCGTTTACATAAAAATGCAGGGTTGCGTTATCCTTTCGCATGACACCGACACGATCTCCTACTTGCAGTCGGTCGAGATTCTGTCCGTACTGATCTATTATTGCAGTTCCGTTATGCATCACCCCATTTTCCGTCATCATCCATGTGCCGGATCTGCAAGGGATATGACCACCTTCGAGCAATAACACGGGCGATAAACTTAACATAAATTTCAAAGGGATGGTTACGTATTAACAGCAACAGGAAACAGTAATTCACACACCTAACGTTTGTCATTGTGAACGGGAATTCCAGCTCGGTGGGAGAATGTGTGGTAACTCCTATTTCGATAGAACCAGCCCACTTCGTCACGATCTTATCTAGCCTGACTTCGAACAACTCGTTCGGTTTAAGTGGCCTCGATGTTAGCACAACCCCGTTGTAGAAATCATCCATTACACTGCAACATAGACGCGTATCAATAGCACATCTCACAATATTTTTGCGCATACATATTTCAGAAAGATTGTTTACTTAGGTCTGTGCGCAGTGCGGCCATTATTAATTACTTCTACGTGTGTACCGCAAATCGAGTGGAACATGAGCCTATCTGGTGGTTCCTCCTCTGTTTCTGAAACGAATGACATCTAGATTTAGATATAACAATACTATATGAAGCTGAGATGCCCTATATAAGAGAGAAAATTAATAGCCACACCATTCAAATCCTGAAGTTGCAATGTGTTTCTTCTAGTAACCAGATTTTGTTCCTCTCTTTCATCACGATCCACGATCGTTACTTTCACTGTCATGCCGTAGAGATCGATGACACCCCATACACCTGTAGGAACCTTGGCTGCGATTCCTTGATCCAGACCATTAATTATATAATGAAGATTTCCATTGCTTCCTCGTACCATGCCTACTCTGTCGCCTTCCTAAGTTTAAGATGATATACGATTAGAATTCTGTCTACTTTGTATATACGCCTACAAATAAATAACATAAAATATTAATGTTACCATCAGCTCGTCCAGATTGAATTGTCCATATTCGCGGCACGTGCCCTTTCCATTTACTAAAATCCCGCAGCCGGACATCATTGTCGTTCCTGAGCGCATGTTGGTCATCGTTGCTGGAAATTCTAATGCTGTAGGACTATGCATGGTTACTCCAACTTCTATGCTGCCCGACCACTTGTGCACGAGCCTATCGATTCGTACCTGCGGTAACATAGTTTATTACAGAATGACGTACGATTATATAATACTATCGGCCACTTATGTGTCTCTCCTTTTGCCTACCTCAAACAATTCGTTATCTCTCAGTGGCCTGTGAGTCATTACTACGCCGTTATTAAATTCATTTAAAGGTCTTCTCCTCTCGGCGGTTCTGGCATTGTTCGAAAGTTTCACCATAGATCCGACTCTCTCGTGAAACCTCAGTCTATCCTCTCTAATGGCAGCAAGACTTGGGTTCTTAGGTAAATTAACGTTCACATTAACATTTAAATTAACATTCAGATTAGCGACTAGATTAGTTGTGGAGGAATTGGATGCTTCTCCAAGGACATAGTCGTTATTGATTAATACTTCATCTTTTGGATCATTACACAGAGCAGGGGTAATTTGTGGGTGAATAATAGTCACTTGTACACAATCACCATACATATCTACAACTGCAAAAATGCGTTCTGGTATATTGGTCACAGCTACACCTTGAGAGATACCATTGATATAAAATACCAGCTCGTGCTAGAATAGAAACGATTGAAAACCAAATAGAATTAAATAGACATAGAACCGTCGATGCACCATGTTTGAAACTTACATTGGATGTCCTTAGTACACCTAGGGTATTGCCTTCTTCCAAGGTGCTGAGGTCCATTCCATACATCTCTACCATTCTGGTTCCATCATGGACAATACCAGAGTTGGTCATAATCCATGTTCCTTGAAAAAGACTAGTAGCACAGGCAGGCAATTCTATCACTTCTGGATCACATTCTGTAACGCCAATTTCTATGCTACCGATCCACGATGTCATCTGAACAGGACACAGAAATAGAATAAGTGTTAGATTTAGCAGAAGCAATTTCTCTTTTCCATTTTCTTAACAGTTTACCTCATTTTATTTTTAAAAAGCAAAGTAACGTGACGTGTGTACCGACACAAGCACCAAGAAACTGATCACCAGAAATATTGCGAAGATCGCGCGTTTGCGAACCACGATTCGTCGTTTGACAGATTTTAATCGCGTTTACGATAGAAGTTCTATGCAGCGTGATTGATACGCGGTACACGAGGAACTTCTAGGTAATTAAATTGTAAACAACAGATTTTGACAAATGCAGGAAAACGAGCAGTAGGAAAATCGAAGTGACATCAAGATGTCAATGATTACCTTTTTGTCGATGCGGACTTCGAAAAGTTCTCCATCCTTGAGCGGCTCTGCGCTGAGTACCAGTCCGTAATTGTACTCGGAGAAGTCGCGTATGGCTGTACAATTGTTGTTTGTTAAAGTAACTCGATGACCGCATCGTTGATGAAACATGTCGACCATTTGTTGTGCACCGCACCGACTGTCGACATGTAACCAAACACTGAAACACCAAACTATGCGTCGCTCCCTCCCCATCACTTCGTCGGTCCGTCTTTCTCGAACCGTCGGAGCGCGCGTATGTTCCGTCTCATTCCAACGTGTCGGGAGAAGATCTTAATCTATGTACATACAATATTACAAATCATTTCAAATATAAAGTAAAAAATGTTTGCGTCGTTTTAATTAATAGACATAAACAAAATATATCGAACAATACCTTATTCAGAAAAGTAATCGTCATCAGCTTGATGTTCTTATCCAACAATCTAATAACTATTCCTTCTTTATACAAGTTTTTATATTTGGAATCGTAAAAGGATTTCAATAATAAGCACGTTTATGTTTGCTGGTTTGATACACATTATGGTTTACGTTTTTACTTCAAATGTTTACCAGAATTTCGGAAATACGAGACAAATTTTATATTATCCGCCATTGACTATTGATCTTCGAGAAATTGGAGCTCGATGAGTCGAATCGAATTGAATCGAACGTGGTCGTACCAACTTGGAATTGGAATCCAACTGTATGTATTCCAAGTTCCAATTCCAAATTCCAAGTTCGATTTAAATTGATCGCTGCCCGGACCTATTAAAAACAGCTGATCGCTGATCCTGATCAATTTTATTTTTCACTTTTCTGAACATAATTATGGTGAATTTATCGTTGTCGATTTAAACAGAAAAGAAGAAATAATAATGAAGACTTCGCATTTTCTTATTTTATCTAAGAAAATAAAATTGACCTTATTGTCGATAACGTAAGCACATTATCTAACCTCTTATACCTTCCATTGATTATCGAAGAATGTTGTTTGAATTCAAATTTTTGTTAATTATGTAGAAATATGAGTAATTGTGGCGAGACAATTACATGTGCAATTCACTCAAGAAATCAAGAAAATTACAAGTTTATTAACAATCAGAAATTCTTGCGTGTATAAATGCGCTATAACATTCTTCAGATTTTGGAAAGATTTCGAGGAAAATGAAATAAATGACACGTGTTATTATCTTACATGAGTCATGTTGGTGATTAGACGCGAAGATGAACACTGTGAAGCATAAAATATGGTTAGTAATTTATCAATGAAATATTAAAAGGAGAAAAAAACAAAGAACTGTATACATTAATCTTTTACAGCATGGTCTCCGACTTCTTTTATCCCAACATGGGTGGGGTGGAGGAGCACATTTTTAATCTATCCCAATGTTTATTGGGTCAGGGTCATAAAGTTGTGGTGCTCACTCATTCGTACAGAGACAGAGTTGGAATACGTTACATGACCAATGGTCTGAAAGTATGTACTATGCTTGTTTATCGATAAAGGCTGCTTGTATCTACTTTATGACTAAATAGTTCCTCTTTCTAGGTATACTACATACCGGTAAAGGTCTTCTATAATCAGTGCGTTCTTCCAACTATGATCTGTTCCATTCCTCTTATCAGATATATTTTCATAAGAGAGGAAATTCAAATAGTGCACAGCCATTCGGCGTTCTCTGCGCTTGCTCACGAAGGAATGCTAATAGGTCGATTGATGGGATTGAAAGTGAGTCGACGATTGTCTAGAAGAAAAGATCAAGACTATGGAATAGTAATTATATCAAAAATTTCAGACAATTTTTACAGATCATTCACTTTTTGGTTTTGCTGACGCCTCCGCGATCTTGACAAATAAATTTTTAGAGATATCATTGGCCGATTGTGATCACTGTATATGTGTGTCGCATACAGGTAAAGAGAATACAGTATTAAGAGCCAAAGTTCCAAAAGAGAAAATCTTTGTTATACCCAATGCGGTGGACACCACATTATTTATGCCGGATGTTAGTAAACGGGACAATAATTTTAGTAAGTTCACCAACTACATAAAATAAATTTAGAATTTCAGCTGTATCGCACTCGCAGCTCGACACACGCAGAAGATGCACAGTATTACTAATGCTCCTCCCCGTTATTAATTGTAGTTACGATAGTCATAGTGTCGCGACTAGTGTATCGCAAAGGCGTCGATTTATTAGCTCGCATTATACCCGATATTTGTAGTCGGCACGAGAATGTGCAGTTTTTGATCGCTGGAGATGGTCCAAAAAGATGGCTGATCGAGGAGGTACGAGAAAGAAACTTGTTGCAGCACAGAGTGACGTTGTTGGGCAGCTTGGAGCATTCTGAGATCAAGCATGTGCTGAACAAAGGCCATATCTTTCTGAACACTAGTCTTACCGAAGCATACTGTATGGCAATCGTCGAGGCTGCTTCCTGCGGGTAAATGTCGATAATTTGGAAACATTAGAGCTGTCGATTTATTTTTCATAAATTTTTATGAAATTTCTTTATCATAAAAATATTCGTCAATTTATAGGTTGCAAGTGGTCTCGACGAAAGTAGGTGGCATACCCGAAGTATTACCTCCTGATTTAATTTATTTAGTGGAACCCACTGTGCCTGCCCTTGTCGAAGGGCTGGAGACTGCCATAACAGATTATAGAGAAAATAATACCAGATGCCTTTACGAAGCCAATAGAAGAATAAGTCTGTTTTACAACTGGTTTAATATAACCAGAAGAACTGAGATAGTATACAATTTAGCGAGACAAGAACGAAGAAAGACTTTAGGCGAACAATTGGCAAACTATGTTCGCAGTGGAGTATTAGCATATCTGTTGGTTGTGTCGTTATGCTATATTATTATACAAATTTTCGAATTTCTTGTACCAAGAAAAGTAGGTCGTATCAATTATACATAACTTCGAGTGTTTTTTTTTCTTTCGGTTTGTTCATTAAAGATCGAATGCTTTCAGTACATCGATATCGCGAAGGATTACACAGACATGAACGTTATAAATGTTCACGGGGATGGAGAAGAAGAATAACGATCATTTCCTGTAAATCGGAAGCCAGTTTCCATGTTCCCCTTAAACCAAGACATTCCAATAATTAGACTACTAGTATAAATCTTGATACTTTCTCTTATATCTTTTATGTACGTATTGAAAACCAAAAAGCACAGTGTCTAAAGTACAAATACAATTGTTAGCGAAAATCGAGTCGATAAAAAGCAAATCTTTTTATTACTTTTCTCCTACGTATCGTATCACAAACGCAGTCCGGCGGTCACACCATACGTGAAAATTGTCTCATACGTTTCGTTCATATATTTTTAATGAAATCCTTTTTATTATGATAGTTGTAACATCGTATGCATGTGTCCGTATAATATTCGTTAACAATTCACAGTTATAGTAGACTCACACAATGCTCGTTCACGTGTAAAATATATTGCATTGTTGGACATTAAAAAATACCTATATATTACGTGTAGGAATCGCTCGCATTCACAGTTCATGACATGTCTGCTCGTTTATTTATATAACATAATCTACATTATAGTATTTTAAACTTAATGCACCGGAAATACCGTGACACAAATCCATCGTGTGTGTTTTCTGTGTGCACCAGTGTACGTGTACGGATGTGTGACTGTTGTTATTCACAATTCGTCTCAATAATTGTTCACAAAGATATTCACATATACAGAGTTTATAGATTCAGCTTAAGCAGCTAAGTGCAAATTTGTTTCTTTTACTCTCATTTAATATCACGATTTAGAGATGATCAAAGTTTAATAATCGAAGAAAAGAAAAAACAAATGAAAAGGCTACGTTGAAAATATAATAATATTTATTTTTATTAAGTTGTACGTTAGATACAATAATAATAATAATATTAATAATAATACAATATCAATGATTTGTTTCCTGTTTTCTGCCTAATTAATTATCATTGTATTACTGTACATTTATCTATTTATACATAAATCTTTCACTCAAGGGTCTATGGTCTTCTCCTAAATGATACAGCCGTCGTTCTTATCACGTGCTAAGAGAAGATCAAGGAACCTTAATCAACAACCATTATAAATATTAAGAGCGGTTCGATCAGTCGATAACATTCGTCCCGCTTAGCATACAAGAACAGAGTATTCCTGCCAATTTTCTTCAGTTCCTGATGGTTTTGTTTCCGATTAAAAAGGAAGCCAAATTAGAGAGAAAAGAAAAGATCAGCGTGGGTCTCTGGATATTCGTAGACATATATCATGCTAGAAATTCCTTCCTTCGCGACATCGAGTGAGATCTCGCGTAACAATACGCTTATGAATAGAACTTTAAAATCAAGGAAACGAGATACTGCTTGCTCTCCGATCGACCGCCCCAATGTTGATCAAGGAAAATAGAGATATGCCGTTGAAAGTGAGATCCACACGTAGACACATGCAGCAATCGAACCGGAAGTGTCCCTTAACACTTATTGATCGGGGAAGATGAGTCCATTCGTCGTTCACATTTGACCACGCTTTTCCAATAACTTTTTCTGGTTTCTCTATAAATCGTACACATGCAAGTAATATCGTTAATACGAATGCTTTTTTTTTGTAATTTTTCCTTCGTGTCAGTGTATCCAAAAGCGTTAAGAAAGTATTAGAGGAGTTGTCGTTGCCCTCACAATATCGCTTCCATATATAGGTATAATCGTTCAATCCGTTCTGATATTTAAATAAAATTGTCGTTTACAGTCATTCAATGAAAATCTATTCTTTTCCACACTTTTTTCTTACTATCTCCCCTTTTCTGAATCCCTTTTTGTGTCCAAGATAATAGAACTTTCAACGGAAACTTTAAAAACAAAGTGTTCGAGATTTACTCATTGAAACACGTAACGGATAAGTATGATCCTAGGGTAAAGAGCTCGTTGAGATTATGATGACGCCACGATAAAGCAAGAAATCCATAGGATTCATATACATATTGACACTCGATGCGATAGTTCCTGATAATTCCAACGATCAGTGCACATTTTATGAATCAACATCGTATATCTGATCGAGCTACCACGCACGACAGATTTATTTTTTCCTCCTTGCCGCTCTACGTCTCGGTTTCCATTCCGTCCCAGTTCAAATCTTTTTGGTTTCGTGAGTACACGTTATTGCTTCCTTAACTATTACGGTTCTCCACGTGTACACGAGTTCTAATCAATCGACATAGATCCTTCTTGTTCGCAATAACGACAGAACGTTCCGGAAATAATGGTTGCGTGCATTCTCTCTATCAGTGGATGTCGCCCGTCTTTTCGATATTTGTTTCTCGGAGTAGTGTGGATTATATGTACAATTTGAAGTTCACTTTCCTTTCCTCGTTTCGAGTATTTAGTCGATCAGTTCGGTGATTCTTATGAAGGAAATAATGCCATACTGCGAGAAACGTTGTGTGTGTGTATGTGTGTATGTGTACGCGCGCGCGCGCGTGTGTATGGCTAAAGCTCCCATTAACCCACAGAGTGAAAGGATACAAATGTGGGGGACCGAAGATTATTCTTGCATTAACCATAGAAAAAGAAATCTTAAATATATATTATGTATATACGTATGTGTAGTCGGTATTGCTTTTTGTTTGTTTGTTTTAATGAAGTACTCGTAACGGGTTCCTCAGAACTGTCATTTGGCATCTACAATAAATAAATAACGAACCATACTTGTAACTTGTAACGGGCCAAGCGTCGCGAATATCCGTGGGTGTGAGGGATCGGTAAACGGTTCCGGAAGTGATTCACACACCTTCACCGTAATCACGATCACCGACGTTAATACGATCAGGCGCTGCGGTCACGCTGAACCCAAGAATCCTACTATCAACTTTGTACATTTTTCCCTTCTTCGGTTTTTTCGATTTTCCCTGAGAAAGAAGATCTTATCAATGGATGTCCTTGAATCTATTATTCTACGCTCACATATAGAATGTAACGATTACTAGAGCTTTTAGAGCTGAACGATTATATCGAGACCGAAAGGAGATCAAATACTTTGAGTATTTATTACCTTCACCTCTTGAAATTCTGTGGGCGCATTTGGATTAACGGCAGGTGCAGGTTTGCAGAGATCGTCCGCCTGTGCTTGCGGTCGCTGAGCCGACCGCCATTTACTGCGCTTATCTAGGAATTGCTTGGCGAACTCCGAGCTCTGTTTATTATCACCTAGGTAGTCCCGAACATATTCCTTAACCTCATACGCGGACTCGATGTCTCGCAGAAATCCGACGAACGTGGGTACTGAAAACAACGAACAGTGTCAGAGGACCATTAATTGGGAACAATGTACCTCCCGAGAAAAATGATCTAAGAACGACTTACTGTCCACGGACACCTGTAAACCGCTCAGTGCCTTGTTGCACCACTGTGTGAAATCATCTACCTTGGCAGTGTTCTGTTCAAACAGTTTCTTCACTAATTCCTCTTCTCTCTTATTTTTACTCTTATTCACCTTGTTAGTTTGCAGCGTCTGGTTATTACAAGGCGATTTGATTGTAGCAGATTGCTTCGGCGGTTGCTTGACGGCCGTGGTGGTGGCTTTGGTTGGTGTCGGATCTTCCCAGAAACCGCTGGTACCACCAGTATTGTTCGACCATGCTTGACTGCTGCTGGATGCGCTAGAATTCGCCCAGTTCAAACACTGCGAAGCAGTGCCCCATATCCCAGCATTTTGCAGCAAGTTCGTCGACTCTTTTTGCCCAGCCTTCTCTTGACGCTCCCTTTCTTGCTGCTGATGAATGATCAGTATTAACAATTAACAACACGTAATTACCGTCACATGATTACCGAAGTAATAATGTTGTTTGTTTGTTTGTTTGTGTGTGTGTGTGTGTTTGTGTTTGTGTGTGTGTGTGTGTGTGTGTGTGTGTGTGTGTGTGT